GTGCTGGGCACTGGTGGCTCATGCCTGTCATCCTAACTACTCAGGAGGCTGAGATCTGAGGATCACAGTTCAAAGCCAGCCAGGGCAGGAAAGTCCATGAGACTCTTATCTCCAATAAACCACTAGAAAACCAGAGTGGTGCTGTGGCTCAAGTGGTAGAACGCTTGCCTTGAGCTGAAGAGCTGAGGGATAGCGTCCAGGCCCAAAGTTCAAGCCCCACGACTGACCAAAAAAAATTTTTTTTAAATAGAGCTTTAGAATCAAACACACACATGGTAATGGTTAGCACTGCTAGATTTACTTAATCCAATTATTCTTTTTCTGAACACAAACCCAGACAAGTCTAATTCTAGTATGTATGTGCTAAAACATAGTGGGTAAATGATACAAAAATAATCTAACATATTAACACATTTGCAACAGTTTTTCCATCCAAAGATTCATTATTTACTTTAAGTAGTACTTCCTATAAATTCATTAAAATGATTCATCATTGACCAAAACTCTCTTGGAACATTTTATTGAAACAGATGCAAAAGCACACAGCATACTTTAAGATGTCAATTCAAAAAAAGCATGAATATACCAATTTGTTTACCATGATGAGAGTAATACCTGGCAGACAGTAAATAGTACTCAATATATGTATGTGGTATTAAATAAACTATGTAACCATAGTTTTGAGTATTCTTCAAGATAGGGGTCTCTTCACTGTGCAGCTGGTCTAGCTCTCAGTCTTCCTGCCTTTGCCTCCTAAGTGCTACAATAACAGGCATAGAGTCCCACTCCCAGCTTCATGATTTTAAAAAAAAAAAAAAGAAAGAAAGAAAAATAAAGCCATTTTAGAGCTCAGCCTAGTCATTAAATGTGTCGAAATTCTGGTGGATATAATTTTGGATTAAGAAAACAAAATCATAATGTATGACTATAAAGCAACAAATTAGAATTTCTTTCATGACTCATAAAAATGGCTCCAAGATCAGTTACTTTTGTAGTGATTTGGGGACTCATTCCTGAAGCTGATAATTACTCATGTTGTGTCTGCTCCAGAGTGAGAGTATTTGTTCTTCTCTTCCTCTGCCTGTTGTGCACAGATTTGGCCCTCACTGCATCAGTCCCAAAGTCCTCCCTTTACTACCTGCCCTAAAATAAAGCCATCCCTGTTTTTCTATGAGGATATTTCAGAAAGGGTATATGTTTCTTCTGGGGAGTTATTTCCAAAGAAATTAATAACCTTAAAAAAAACAACAACAACAGGTTCTACTACTTTTAGAAGCACTGGTGGAGGGGTGCCTTTACTATTATCATTTCAAGGTCCATCTCTTTAACACCTTTCCATCTCCCCAGCTGATAAGAACAAATTGAGAGGCCATTTAAGAACTCTCAACTGAATCAGAGAAGTATGATTTTTAGGTGCATTGGTCTCTGCTAGTGTTACCATTACCATTTAAAATTTTTTCCATACCTACCTGACATCTAGAATTAGCTATTTGTATTGAATAGCTACAGCTATTTTATAGTCTTGTTTAATAAATATCTTAGTTTGCTTGGGCTGCTAATAACAAAGCTGTATTGAATGGGTGCTTTATAAACAACTGAAATATATTTCTTACAGGCCTGGAAGTTTGAGATAAAGGTGTTGGTATAATCAGGTTTGGGGAGGACCCTCTCCCTGATTACTGACTTCTTGTGTCTTCACACTAATGACCTACTCTTCTCACAGAGTTTCCACCTCAAAATATTATCACTAGATTTCAACATATGAATTCTGGGAGTATACAAACCTTTAGCCCATAACCACACTTAAAGATAATTAGGAAGCATACCCCTGAAAATTCCTATTACAATATTCTGCTAATTTCTATTTCAATATTATAAATAAATATCTTTCTTAAAAAGTTCAGTAATCCAGATTTAAAGTTTTAGGCAAAGTAAAGAATCACAAGGTATAATCCTAGAAGAATATTTAGAGCACACTTAGAATTTTGAGGTACATTTTAGAAAATTTCAACTTTTGGTTTGTAGGATCAAGTAGTGCCTGTATACATACACACGTTGTCTTAAGAAACAATGAGTAAAACAACACTGAATGATGACGCCAAATGGAATAATCAGGGTGTGTGTGTGTATGTGTGCGTGTATGTGTGCACGTGCGTGTGTGTGCGCGTGTGTGTGCACACATGCGTGTGTCCTGGACCTAGCAGTTCAACTCAGGGCCTACATATTGTTCCTGATATTTTTTTTTTTTTGCTTCCCTTTTCTTCCCCCCCCCCCCACTTCAAAGCTAGCACTATACCACTTGAGCCACAGCTCATTTTCCAGCTTTTTCTGTGGTTAACTGGAGATAAAAGTCTCACAGTCTTTCCTGCCCGGGCTGGCTTCAAACCTTGACCCTCTGATCTTAGCTTCCTGAGTAGCTAGAATTATATGCATGAGTCACTAGTGCCTAACTAGTTTAATATTTTAAGCTAAAAAACCATCTTACTTGAATGCAAAATAAATATATTCTCAAAACAGTCATAAAATTTTCTACTGAATATTCTAAAACTGTATTAATCACTTACCACTAAAGTCTAATACCTTCTATTCTAATGTTCTTAAATGATATCTAATGTATTTAGATATTGTATGCTTATTGTCTGTACTTTTATTATGTAGCCTTGAAGCCTTCAGAAGCTCATGCTTTTTCTCTGAAGCTGCAGCAGTTTCTGGTGTTGGGAGGGAAGCACATGCTGTTGGTGAGTTACCTGTGCCAAGTAATCGTTTAGAAAATGCCATCGAATAGGAGGTACGCAGTCTCGTCCGGCATGCCACTTCCCTCTCGTTGTACAGCAGCTGGTTATCCATCAGCAATGTTATGACTTGCTTAGACTTCTGCCGAATATAATGTCCTGTATGGAAAAAGAAACACAGATTAAGGCTATGATTTTTATTCTAAATAAATTAAAGTGAAACTGTGAACAAAGTAAAAAAGTTATAACAAAAAATATTGATATATTTCTTTCATATAGCTTAAGTAAATAAAGCATATCTACATGGTAAAATCATACCATATGTTAGCACTACATTTTTCATATTAAATACTTTGGATTTTCCTTTTAAAAGCTATCCATATGCCACAATAAATCCAACTATATACAGGCATACACAGAAGAGGAATGAATTAGAAGTAATGCTGACCTAGATGTATGAGCCAAGGATTTAAAGTAATATGCACAATGTGATTCAGATCTGTAAAGTGGAGGGGGAAATAAACCAGTATAGAGCAGACAAATTTCTATGCTTTGAATATGTTCCCAAAACAGGTGGGCCTGTAAGAAATGATTTGGCCATGATGTGAATGGCATCTAGGCCTTTAGAAAAGAGGTTTCAAGCCAGTAGTCTCTTTCTTGCCCTCTGCCTACCCCACAGGAAGACACAATGGCCCTCCCTTCCAAGGATACAGCATCAAAGGATCATCTTGGAAGTAGACAGCAGCCCTCACCAGATAACCAAAGCTGTTGGTGACTTGAGATTGAACTACTCAGCCCCCAGAACTATGAGAAAAGTAGCAGTGTGACAAAAGTAGGGTACCCAGAAATGGGTACCTTACCCAAGTCTACCAACTGCCTCGTCCTGCTCTATTCCATCAAGAGGCTCACTACTTACCTAGCTATTCTAAGGCATCAAAGCTGAAAATGAGAAAATCTAAAAACCAAAAAGTTTGCTTCAAGGATCAGATAAACAGTAGTAGTAAGATGACATCTATTTACTTCAAATTAATACAACTTTGAAAAGAAAAGAAGGAAGATATAGTATTAGAACAAACTTGGGCAGAACTGCTTTGTGTTAAGGAGGTGGGGAGACATGGGAAGGGAGGATAGTAAACCTGGGTTCTTTGAAATAAGCAATGAAACTATACAACACATCAATATCCAAGGATTATTATACAAAACCCATCAAGATGAAAAGGTTAGTTGAGGTATAGGTAAAAATGAAAATAAAGCTAAATATTTTTTTCATTAGGCATCTTTTAGTTATAGGTGACAGAAATTCAATTTGAAATCAATGCGGCAAAAGTCATGAAAACCCACTATTATAACAGGGCCTTAGATACAAAGAAAGCAGAAAACTTCTGTTCCTCTCTGTAAAATGCCTTCTTTGGGTGTGGGGGTGTGTCTGATTATGAGGATTTGAAGTTTAGGTGTCATGCTTGCTAGGGCAGCTACTCCACTACATAAACCACAACCTCAGCCTAACATCTTCATTTGCTCTTTTGCATAGTGGCTTTTTCACCTGGATATGAACACAGTTCCAAATTCACATCTCACCACCTCAGATTCACAACTCATGCTCTTATGTAACCCAAGAAGTCTCCTTCTTGCTTCCAATATGAAGAATCTGGGAGAATGATTCTGATAGGACTAGCTTAGAACAACCATTATGCCAATTACTAAGTCAAGGGTAGAATGAACTATATGCAACTCAAATTAGAAAAATACTCAATTCCCCTTTAGTATAATGAGGGCAGGACCAATGTGACAGACAAAGATCAAATCCTCCTAAACCCAAGGAAAACACCTAGAAGATACCAATACTAGAACAGCTATGCAAAAGATCAATGAACAAGGACACCAATTTCTGCATTCATTAAGTCATTTCTGAACACTTAAGTTTCAGGAAATGTTCTAAGCACTTGCAACATAAGGAAGAGACACTTCGTTTTAGTTGGCTGAAATATGCAATAGACATAATCAAAGCAATTTCAAATAAAGCTAAATACTCTAAAGAAAGTAGCTGAAGGTCTGATGTGCTAAACATTAATTTGGGGTGTGCTTACAGAAAGTCGTACTGAGGAAGCAATACAGCTCAGTGTTGAACAGCCATTCAAAGACAAAAGGACAGAAAGCACCAGGCAATAGAAGAGCTGCAATTTTGCTTGCTCAGAAAAGCCTTCCACAGACAGTTAGTAGTCCCCTCCTACTGTGCCCTGCCCACACACCTGGGCCTCAGATGTGGTTGGGCCCTGCTTTCAGATACCCTCATCAAACCTTACACTTGTCCTTTATAGTATTCTCACAGTTTGCAATTACCCATTTGATAACTGTCCTTTCTCCATTAGCCTAAAACATCTATGGAGGCCAGAGCTGTAATTGTTTATCAGACACTTAAAAAGTTTATGAGCCAGGTAAGGTGGCTCATAACTGTAACCTTAGCTACTCAGGAGACTAAGATCAAGAGGGTCACAGTTGAAGACCAGCCTGGACAAAAAGTTCACAAGACCTCATCTCAACAGAAAGGGCTGGGAACAGTAATAGGCAACTGTCATCACAGTTTCAGGAGAAGCATAAATACTAAGATCACATCCAGGCCAGGTTAGGCAAAAAAACAAAACCCTTTCGTAAAAACAATCAAAACAAAAAAGGCTGGAGATATGTTTGAGTGTTGGAACACCTAACAAAGTATAAGGCCCTAAGTTCAAACCTCATATAGAAAAAAAAAGTTTGTGCTGGGCACTGGTGGCTCATGCCTGTCATCCTAACTACTCAGGAGGCTGAGATCTGAGGATCACAGTTCAAAGCCAGCCAGGGCAGGAAAGTCTATGAGACTCTTATCTCCAATAAACCACCAGAAAACCAGAAGTAGAACTGTGGCTTAAAGTGGTAGAGCAGTAGCCTAGAGTGCAGTGACAATGCCCAGGCTGAGTTCAAGCCCCATGACTGACAAAAAACAAAGACAAAAAATAATAATTGAAAGCCATAAGGACAGATTACAAGGCCCAGTATTCATCTAGAAGTTTCAAAAGAATTTGAAAACATACTCTGGAGATAAATATTGAGAATTTTATAGAAAAGACAAGAGTCCTCACATCAAAGTTGTATCTAACCACTACTGGTGGCAGATACTTGTAATTCTAGGACTTGAGAAGCTGAGACAGAAGGGCTGAGAGTTCAAGAACACCCTGATCTATATAGCAAAACCCTGTCTTACAAAACCAAGGACTGAAAATGTAGCTTTGCCCCCTGTAAGGCACCTTAAGATACTGAAAATGTAATACACATTGTTGATTATATTGGAAATATAGGATGGACAAAGCAGACAAAGTGTCCCTGCCCCCTAAGATTACGTTACACTAAACAGAGACAGACAATAAAGAAATTAGATTACACATGGTATTGGAGACAAACTATGGAGAAAAATGAAACACAGAGCATGGTTAGGATATGTCAGTGCAGAGCAAGTTGGAGTTACTTCTTTTAATAAATACTGTCAACATACAAGGTCTCAGAGAATCTTCTGAGAGGGGGGACTAAAGGATGTGAGGAAGCCATGCAGTTTCCAGAGAGCAACACTTGGGGGCAAAGGGAACTAAAACTCTGGAAGAATTTTCTGTAGGATCTTTTTTTTTTCTTTTTTTGCCAGTCCCCAGGCTTGAATTCAGGGCATGGGCACTGTTCCTGAGCTTCTTTTACTTAAGGCTAGCACTCTACCACTTGAGCCACAGTGCCCTTTCCAGCTTTTTCTGTGTATGTGATACTGAAGAATCGAACCCAGGGCTTCATGCATGCTAGGCAAGCACTCTACCACTAAGCTACATTCCCAGCCCCTTCTATAGGATCTTTTCTGTTCTTTTCTCCTATGACAACCTTAATCTAGAGTATGCTCCAGACTCAGATAACTAGGTCACTGCAGTTTTTCTTCCATTAATTTCTTTTTTTTCTTTTTTTTGGGTCCGGTCGTGGGGCCTGAACTCTGGGCCTGGATGCTGTCCCTCAGCTCTTCAGCTCAAGGCTAGCGCTCTACCACTTGAGCTACAGCACCACTTCCAGTTTTCTGGTGGTTTATTGGAGATAGGAGTCTCATGGTCTTTCCTGCCCGGGCTGTCTTTGAACCGCGATCCTCAGATCTCAGCCTCCTGAGTAGCTAGGATTATAGGCGTGAGCCACCAGCGCCCGGCTTCTCATGTACTTTCCTGCCTAGGTTGGCTTTGAACCCACAATCTTCAGATGCCAGCTTCTAGAGTACTTAGGATTACAAGTGCAAACCACTGGCATCTGGCTTCTGACAAACGTCTTTTTTTATGTCAGTTGTGGGGCTTGAACTCAGGGCCTGGGCACTATCCCTGAGCCTCTTTGTACTCAAGGATAGTGCTCTACCACTTGAGCTACGCATCTCAGATCTCAGCCTCCTGAGTAGCTAGGATTACAGGCATGAGTCACTGGCATCTGGCAAAAGTGACTTACTATCTACTATGTGCCAAGGTCTGAGGGTGAAAAGATTAACATACTACACCTTCCCTCAGAATCTATTTAAAAAGATATATCTAAATTATGTAATAAATAAAATATACTATAAAAAGTGCCACACTGATCTTAAAAATAAAATATTGTAGCAATTAGTTCTGTCCAATGAAAGAAAGAGTTGGAAATGCAGAGGAAAGATCTCTGATAGCATTTGAAGACTAAGTCAGAGTTCAACAAATAGCAAGGAAAGAACACTGTAGAGAAAATAAACATTGAAATACAAGCACATAGCTATGTAAGCAAACAATACATTCATTAGGAAGGCTTGTGACTACATTACATTGAAGAATGATAAAATAAAAGTAGAAAGGTAGACTGAAGCTTGCAAGTGGTTTCCAAACTATTTTGACTATACACCCCCATCGGTAACACTTTTTTGGGCATATATCAATCCTCAATAAAGGCACATTTAAATATAGATTAATGCCAAGAGCTACTCTTCCAGGATACAACATTCACCAGAAAATAAGCAGATAGATATAATATAATATATTCCCCAGTGAAACTATATTCATTAATATGTATTAATTTAATTAATGGGTACCAATGCTATTAATCAACAACTATTAGGCCTTCTATAATCAATAAAGTAACTTTGTTGATGTATCAGTTCTAATTTGCATTTTTCCTGCTCTCTTGGTACTAACAAATCATCAAGAGTACTCATGAAGTCTAGAGTTGTGTACTTGGGCTTATTTTTTTTTGGTCTAAGCTCAACTGTTAGGGAATCTAATAAATTTTTTATGATAATGGATTTAAACATATCCATATGTATTGTACCTGTAGATATAAGGTATAATAAATGCATGAACAGGTTTGTATATTTATATGCTGTATAGTTACACACTTTCCTATTTTACCTCCCAAAGTAGCTCAGAAGTTGTTTAGATCAGGGGCTGGCCTCTCTATAAAATCATCAGCATTCTTAGTTCAGGAATAAAACTTTAAATGAATAACTGTTTTATAAATTACAAGGAAATATGCCTTTTTAAAAACCTACTCTTGAGACATGCAAATTTTAATTAGTACTTTAATTTTTAAAAATAAATTTAATCTTCATGAAAGCTAATGCCTTTATAATTTCTGGATGAAGCATCTGAGATAATCAAAACTCATGAAAATTCCTCCAGTTTCATCATCAAGCCTCAAACCTGACCTAAAATACTTAAAATATAGTATATACAACACTAACAAGTGTGATTTGTGCTATTGTTTTGTTTATTCAACCATAAAAATCAAATTTTAAGTTCTGACACTAGCTACAGCATGAAGAACATTATAGTAAGTTAAATAATTCAGATGCAAAAGAACAAAGATTATATGCTCCACCTATATAAAGTACCTAAAATGTATAAATTTATGGAAACAAAAAGTAGATGAGGGGTTTGGTGAATTGGGAATGGGGAGATATTGCTTAACGGTCACAGTGTTTCTGCTTAGGCTGATAAAAAATAGTTTTAGAAATAGTGGTGATGTTGCACAACTTTGTGAATGTTATTAATGCCACTGTGTTGCATACTAAAAAAGACAAATGTTACATATTTATACATAGATACACACATTTTAATACAATATTTAAAGTAACATAATATACCAAAACCTATAATCATGCATCTTAAATAGGTGATTTGTATGCATGGGAATTATATTTCAGTAAAGCTGTTTTATGAAAAAGGAAAACAACACGCTCTTAAGCTATGAAAAGACATGAAGGGATCTTAAGTGAATGTTGCCAAGTGAAAGGAACTAAGTATGCCTATGAGCCAACTTTATGACACTTGGAAAAGGCAAGACTTTAGAGACCAGGGGTTTCCAGGAGTGAGCAGAAAAAAAAAAAAAAAAAAAAGATCAGCAGGCAGATTATGAGATAAGCTTAGTGCAGGACAACTATTCTGTATAATATTGGATCATAGACACAGGATGCATTTATCAAATCATATATAATTATTACTCTAAGAATGAAATTCTAATGTAAAATATGAACTTTAGTTAACAGTATCAATATTGGCTCATCAATTGTAACAAATGTACCACACTGCCCAATGCCAATCATAGGAGAAACCATTTGTGAGTTGGAAGGCTTGTGGAAATTCTGCATAATTTTTCTGTAAACCTAAACCTCCTTTACAAAAGATCTATTTTTAAATGCATTCACTGGGATTGCACTAAATTTTATCCTCTTCCTGTGATTCATGTAACTATTGACTTTAAATCCAAATTATAATACTGCATTAGCTGGAGAGGAAGTACTGATTCTTTTACTACTGTAGCCTCTCAAGCACTGAATCATCTCAGTACTCTATATCTTTTCTCTATTTTACCAGCTCTTCTACCCTTGACAGAAAGATTTTATGACCTAAATTTCTATATCCATGTAACTATTTCTAGCTACTAGTCTTTGATGGTTCCAGAGTCTTTGGGATCTTTATTTATGACTAAAATTCCAACCTAACTGTAATTATGAACTACAGAGACATTATATCAAGATGTCATACCTCCCATTTTATTCATTTTCCTTAAGGTGTCATTTTACAGGAACCTAAGTGTGTTAAACATTGTGTTTGTTTGTGTGAATGTGTATGTGTGTGCTTGGACTCAGGACCTTGTTTGTAATTTCATTTAGCTTTCTTACTCACAGTTGGCACTTTACCATTTGAACCATACCTCTAGCATATTTTTTGGTGGCTTATAAAAGGTAAGTGTCTCACTGACTTTCCTACCCAGGCTGGCTTCAACCAAGATCCTCAGATCTCTGCCTCCAACTTACTACAGTTACAAATGTGAACCTCCAACACTCAACTTAAACATCCTTTTGAAAACAAATATATTAGCCAGATGTAATGGAACATGCCAGTAATCACAGATACTCAGGAGGCAGAGGCAGGAGAATTATGAGTTTAAAGGCAGCCCAGCCAAAACTAGCAAAACTTTATCTCGGGCTGGGAAGGTGGCTCAGTGGTAGAGTGCTTGCCTTGCATGCATGAGGCCTTGGGTTCAATTACTCAGCATCACATAAGCAGAAAAAGCTGGAAGTGGAGCTGTGGCTCAAGTGGTAGAACGCTAGCCTTGAGCTGAAGAGCTGAGAGACAGCACCTAGGCCCAGAGTTCAGGCCCCACAACTGATAAACAACAACACTTCATCTCAAAAATAAAGGGCTGGGCATGGTGACACATCCAGGCAGTTCAACTATTTGGAAAGTGGAGTAAAAGGATTATGGTTTGAGGCCAACCCAGGCAAAAAGTTAGCAAAACCATCTCAAAAACAAGCAAGAAAGCCAAGAGCTGGTGGCTCACACCAGCTAATCTGCAGAGGCTGAGATCTTAGGATCGTGGTTCAAAGGCAGCCTAGCAGGAAAAGTCTGAGACTTATCTCCAATTAACCACCAAAAGGCCAGAAGTGGAACTGTGGCTCAAGTGGTAGAGTGTAGCCTGGAGCCAAAAACCTCACGGCTAGTGCCCAGTGTCAAATGCCTTTGGTCCCAGCTACTCAGGAAACAGAAATAGAAGGAACTGAGGTTGGTCTAGGTGTAAGTGAAAGACTAAGGAAGAAAAATAAGAAAGATGAATAAAGGTGCTAAATTTGATCAAAGTAAATTAAATGCACTGTTACAAATATCACTATGAAATCCTTTTGTATAATAAATAAAATAACAAAATTGCCTTTAAAAAAAACACAGATCTTTTCTAAAAAATAATCTAAGAGGATGGAAGAAGTGGGTCAATGGTAGAGTGCTTGCCAAGCATGAGGCCCTTGGTGCAATCTCTAGTAAGAAACAAATAAATCACATACACAAAAAGAGTACAAGTACTACAAAACAAACAAAAAAGACAATTATATTGTTCACCAACATAACTTAAGAGTAAACACAGAGGATTAAACTAGAATCATAACTACCCTAGAGGAAAGGTAGCTGGTTCATTTAAGAACAACTTTTTCCCTAGATCCCTGTTTTAACTGAACCACCCTGACCTCCTAATCCTCAGACATACTATACAAGCTTCTTTAACTGTTACCTTGGTCTCTTCCAGCTTCATCTATGTGTTGAAAATCTCTTAACATCTGAAGATTACAGAAGCCCTCTCTGCAATGCTGAATAACTTTCTTTGATCCATTCTTGATGAGATAATCCATTAGGGTAAGAGATTTATACACGTGGCGCCAGTTCTTTCCATGGTCACTGAGTCTCTGCCACAGCATATTCATAATCTCTGAGAGTGAAATCGTGTTGAAAGTCAAGTCACTGATAGCTAACATCAGAGAACTAGAGGGCCCCCATGGGTCATTAGAAGTCGCTTCCCTGACTTTTATTTCAGCATCTGAGTAATTTTTCACAAAGTTTTTCACTTGCCTCCTGAATGCCATAGGTAGGCCGAATTTGAAGGTGAGATGCAGGATAAGAGCAATGGAATAAGAATGATTGGTTTATAGAACTTTTGGCAGGCAATTGGTCCCCAGTACTGTTGCTCCCAGATACAAATGATTAATCTCCATGTTGATAAAGTATAAATTTCCTGCAAGGAAAGTAAAAAAAAGTGAGTTAAATATTTTTCTTAATGTCTATAGAAGATCAAGTCAGACTGAAAAATCTAGATTTAGTTTCTAAATCAACTCTTCACTTACATCAGCTAAAATAGAGGGTACCATATAAGTGAGGATGGGAACAGGAAAATTTCTCATAAGAGAGTGGCCTATATGATCTAGATAAATAGGTCTTGTTAGTCCTCTAAGCTTCTGCAGAAAATATTGTGGAACCTTTTTTTTTGGGGGGGGGGGTCCGGTCGTGGGGCCTGAACTCTGGGCCTGGGCGCTGTCCCTCAGCTCTTCAGCTCAAGCCTAGCACTCTACCACTTGAGCCACAGCGCCACTTCCGGCTTTTTTCTTTTTGCTTATGTGGTGCTGAGGAATTGAACCCAGGGCTGTAAGCATGCAAGGCAAGCGCTCTACCACTGAGCCACCTTCCCAGCCCGTCGAACCTTTTTGACCAGAAATACATCATGATGAAACTTTACATGGACAGTAGAAAAGTCAGTATTTAAAAAGAGAATTTGACTTGCACTCTAACATTAATTAAAAAAAACTATTGTGTTCCAAAAATAATAATAGTGGTGAAAATTGAATCTTAGAATCTCTGAGTGGCTTTATGATATATTTCCATTAAACTACAAGTTATACAATCAGATCTAAATAAGATGGTTTCTAGGGTCAACTACTTAAATACTTCAATCTCATTAGACTCCACAGTAGCTAGTAAACTAGAGGGAAAGGTTAAATTACTTTCTTTACTCACCTTTCTTAAAAGAAACGTGGGTTAGGATTGTGTCAAAGTAGGATTCAAATAGTGTAAAGATTTCCCTGAAATATGGAGTGATCAATATGTGTCTCACAGACCTCAAAATAAGTATATATAAGTAGATACCTATTTAAGTTGATAGAAAAATACATTAAACCTTATAGGAGGCATGCAACCCCAAAATTTTAAATGATAGTTGTAAGTTATCCATTCGTAATTTATATGAAACTATTCCCTTTCCTCTTATTCATTACTTTGCATTAAGGTGAGTCAGTTAGTTTGCAATTTCTCTAGTGATTCAACACTGATGGCTACCAAGGCAGCATGCCAAATTGATTTCAAGCCCTGATGAGCATCCAGACCCAATGAAGCCAAGATCAACTATAATCAGATTTTTACTAGAGAAACTGCACACATACAAAAGGAAAAATAATATTCATCACAAATGTTTGTTATTTTCAGTACTGTTTCCCTGCCTAGCTACTTGTTCAGGTCCAATTAATTTGCATATTGAAAGAAGACATGAATTTTCAGATACATCCTAAATAAACTCTCACTTCTTTTTTAAATAGAGATAATTAACCTTTAGGTTAAAATACAATGCACCTTCAAATAAACAATACAGACTATGGTGTTCATTTAAGATTTCTCAGAGCTGGGCACCAGTGGCTCATGCCAGAAAATCCTTAACACTCATCTCTAATTAAGCACCAAAAAGCTGGAAGTAAAGCTACGTCTCAAGTAATAGAGTGCTAGCCTTGAGCACAAAAGCTTATGAACATCACCCTGGCCCTGAGTTCAAGCCCCAGGACTATGTATATGTACACGTACACACACGTACATACACACACACACACACACACACACACACACACACACATTTCTCAGAGACAGTATCAGCCATAGGAAGCAACAAATCCCTAATTTTCTCGTTTGTACTTCTAATATAGACAATTGAATCTAACTCTCTCTTGCAGTAAAAACTTGACTTATAATGTTTCAATAAGCTATTAAAATTTTCCATTTCTACTGTCCATTTTTCTTTTTTAGTAAAAATCACTCAATACTGAGATGCACCATGACATTGGCTTAGAGCAACAAATATTGATCTGTTTCTTCACAAGTCTATTTTTAAAAAATGTTAGAATTATAACTTGCTGAAAGTGAACAACAATTGTTAAAATCTTTTTTACAGTATCTGTATTTTGAAGAATCAATTTTAATTTTTAGGCTTCTCTATGTTCTCTAGCCTGCAGTCTTAAATTTTTGAAGTGTTTTCTTAAACACATTTTCTGCCCCCAGAAAACTAGTAAAATATGAAGTGGTGCTACAGCTCAAAGTGGTAGAGCGCTAGCCTTGGGTGAAAAAGCTCAGAGACTGTACCCAGGCCCTGAGTTCAAACCCCACAACTGACAAAAAAAAATTAAAGTCTTCTAATCCAAAACAGTTTAAAATTGATGTGCTTAACACCATACCAAAATTAAACACTCTACTATTAGATACAGAAAAGTCAGGATAGGTAAATTAGTATTCCTTACTCACGTATAGTAACATGAACTTTACTTTGTAATATGAACATAGAACAACATATAAACCACCATCATTCTGAAATGCAGAGTCTTTCAGACTAATAGGGACTCAACTGATTTTATTTGTAAATTATGTCAGTTACTATGTTTTAGACACCTAAAGACAAATTCTAAGTTTACTCATACTATCAAATAACCTTGAGATTATAATTAGTCATGTACTGCATAATGACATTTCAAAGATAAGTAGCATATGACAGTGGTCACACAGGATTATATAACCTAGTGACATCATAGCCATTTTGTGTTAAGTATACTATATTTGAATGACAATGCTACAATGTGCATAATGACAAAAGCATCTAATGGTATAATTCTCAGAATATGTCCCTGCTATTAAGCATAACATACTACATAGTGATAAAACATCTGAGACAAAATTAGTGGCAAGGAGGTAAATTTCCACACTTGAATTTCTATGATCTGTCTACCCACATTACTATAATATGACAAATAGAAGAAAGAAGTTATTTCAGGTCACAAATTACTGAATTATTCTGCTTGGGAAGAGACCTACAATGATTATACAGCTTTGAAAAATACAATGACATTAAAAAAAATAAAATCTAGTTCTTGTAACTGTCAAGTAAATTTCTAGAATTTGAGCAAATATTTTCAAATCCATCAACAAATATTTCTTGAGAACCTACTATTTATATAGGTTTGTGGAGAAATGTAAAACAGGGTATCTACATTTTAAAAATTTCCAGTTTGGTTAAGGAACTTTATCCCTTGAATAATTCTAAAGCAAACAATTAGAAGGTAGAAGACATCTCCTAGTTTTCTTTCCTTTTCAGATCTGGTCACTTCCACAATGCTATTTCCTTCTTCCCCCACTTTATCTGAATCGTAATAAGAAAGCACATTATCAGGTGACAAACTACTGGCCCACAATCTCTTATACAACTCCTTTGAGACTAGGAGTTGTAGAATTCTTTTTATTTCTGAAAGGTACCACAGTGCTGTTCCATATAGTAACCCACCTATAGTAAGCAGTGGAGTTGCTGATGCATGGATAAGAATGAACTCCATCAACATATCTGTAACAAAAATATGCTAAGTAGTTGAAATAAAGACTATAAATGGGGGGGGCCACCGGGGAGGGGGGAGGGAGGGGAGGGGGGAAGATGGGAAGGGGAAACAAAGGAGGAGGCAACAATGCTTGATAAGAAATGTACTCATTACCTTGCCCATGTAATTGTAACCCCTCTGAACGGTATTTTCACAATTAAAAAAAAAAAGACTATAAATGTCCTCACTTCAGTTCAGATTTTACTACTGAGTTAGAAAGAAAAATTGGTTTTCAAAGAGTTTCAGATTCTAGGATTGAGAACAAGATTTATGGTATCCCAAAGACTTGGGATAATGGTGATAATGGCACCTAATCATGCTCACAGACTCTCAAGAAGATGCACTTAAATAGTGCTATGAGGATAAATCTGCTCTTGCTTGTGCAAGTTCTGCCTTGAGTTTGAGTTTGAGATAGAAGTAAGCTCTGGCTGAGACTGTAAAATGAGAACAATTATAGACAATACTATGACATTAGGGGTGTTACTGCTTTGATGAATACTTTAAGAGTCAATATTTTTTTGAGTCTCATCTGTGTGTTCATTTATTTATTCAGCTAACAATTTAATAGTTTATTATGTGGCACCTCCATCCTATGAAAGGAAAAAATGGACGCACATGACATAGTCCCTGCTCCCGTGGAGTAAATGTCCCACATATGGTCTTTCACGTTATTTACTGCCAATCCTGGGCTTAAACTCAGGGCGTGGTGCTATTCCTTAACTTTTTTCTTTCTTTCTTTCTTTTTTTTGTCTGTCGTGGGGCTTGAACTCTGGGCTTGGGCGCTGTCCCTGCGTTCTACTGCTTGAGCCACAGTGCCACTTTCGGTTTTCTAGTGGTTTATTGGAGATAAGAGTCTCACGATTACAGGCGTGAGCCACCGGCGCCTGGCCTGTTCCTGAACTTTTATGCTCAAGGCTGGTGAGCCACCACTGGCTTTTTGGTGATTAATTGGTCATAAAGAATATCACGAACTTTCCTGCCTGGGCTGGCTTCGAACTGCAATCCTCAAATCTCGGCCTCCATTATAGGCATGATCTACAAGCACCTGGTTTCATCTCATTAATTATTAGAAAGAAAAGAAGAGAGAGGGGGGTGGGAGAGAGAGAGAGGGAGATAGGAAGGGAGAGGGAGAGAGAGTCCTGCTTTGCCTTTTTTTTGGGGGGGGGGGTCCGGTCGTGGGGCCTGAACTCTGGGCCTGGGCGCTGTCCCTCAGCTCTTCAGCTCAAGGCTAGCACTCTAGCTCTTGAGCCACAGCGCCACTTCCGGCTTTTTTGCTTATGTGGTGCTGAGGAATCGAACCCAGGGCCTCAGGTATGCAAAGCAAGCGCTCTACCACTGAGCCACCTTCCCAGCCCCGTGCTTTGCCTTTTTTCTAGCTAAGGCTTAACAAGTCCTCTGAGCTTTGGAGAGAA